ATTCATGAGTTGAAAGTCCCCGTAAGCATGGTTGGGATGCAACAATCGAAGTCAGTATCGAGAGCAGAAAGAGCGGCCAGTACATCCCCGGGGGCGCTGATTTGAACAGTGGGTTCACGACCGCTTCTGGATGGACGCTGATAAAGGCGGCCTGACCACAGTATGTGAGGAGCAAACAAGGGAGCGCAAAACATAGCCACGAGACCCGTATTGCCCTGGTAGCAGAATTACCATAGTTAGCATTAAGCTATGCAAAATGTGTGTGACTCCCAGAATCAGATTAGAACTTGCTTGACGGAGAATGCGCCTAGGTCGGCAAAGAGAGCTTCAACACCTGTATCATCATTAATTAATGCTAGCACTTCGTGACTGACGGCGGATAGATATACCAGTGAAGCAAAGAAGAACGCCCCCAAGCGATTTCCATCCTTCGAATTTTTTCCGAAGGAGATAATCGAGTCCCATCCACGGAGAAAAGGCGCGCAGGACTGAGAAATCGTAGGCAAGTAGGTTCTATTTTTAGTTCGTTATTTTCTGTTCTCAGTCTTTGGTAACAAACCTAGCATCACTGGAGGGAAACATACATAGACCCCTGATATGACGTTGAACATCAACCATACAATCACAATGGGCGTGAAAAAACTACTCAGTTTAGATGTGCCGAACGGCTGCAAAGCAAAGAGAAAAATGATCAGGACGCAGGCAATTGCTACCAGAGTATGGGTTTCAATATTCGGCGCAGCGATTTGGAGCCCTTCACCATCAAGTCAGCGTATGTGCCTGGTCATGTCGAATGTATTATGTATAACATACCTTGAACAGCAGCAAGGATGGATTGTGCAGGAGTCAAAGCGCCGTCTGTATGAAACCCATCAGCGAAAGGACACAGTTCTAGCTATCCTTAGATCATCGGGCGGATAAATACCTGATATCACCATACAAACACCGAGCACCGCGAAAACCTTAACAACCTTCTTTGCTCTAGAACTCCTCTTCAACAGGTTCATAGCCTTGAGGTTAAACGGACGCAGTTGCTTCTCGTCGTCGTTTACAAGGAAGTCCGATGCGTCCCGGTTCTGGTTATCAATGTCGACCTATTGTTTACAGGATACATATTCATATATATAGACGTTAGCCTAACATACCGTCTGGCGAATCTTGAGGGCTGATGTCCGTCCCAGATGAAGAACTAACATAACGTTGTATCAGTGAGAAAAGCGCAAAAGAGCCGCCTTCGCCTTTATCATTAGCGCATAGAACGATCCCGACATATTTAATCGTCGCAATCAGTATCAACGCCCAGGTTATAAGCGAGAGTACTCCAATTAGGTCTTCACCGGCCGGGGGTGTCGCAAACGTCGAGGAGAAAACATAGAGCGGGTTGGTGCCAACGTCTCCGTAAAGAGCCCCGATGGATTGATACGCCAGCCTTCATGCCCTAGATATTAGATGGTTGTCACGGTCGTTCAAAGATATATCTAAGGGAGACGGGGAGAGAAAAGGTACAAACCAGATTGACGCCCAGCCAGTGAGCTCCTAAGCGAAGACATACCGTGAGCTTAACCAGCACATCCGTGTAGAATCTAAGCAAGCATGGAAAGTTTAGTGGCATACCGTTTTCCCATGATCAAGCAGATGGTCGCCTCCGTGTCCTCCATGGAGGACGACATCGGCGATTCTAGTCCCCAGGCCATAGTAGTCCCTGTTGAACCGGATGCTCTTCCTCCTATTGAAGGGGTCTTCATTCTCATTATCGCTGAAGCCTTCCCCGTCGCTGTCGCCGTCCTTGCTGTGCTTGCTGTGCTGGTTCTGATATCCTGCGCTTGAGTCGATGTCGTTGTCATTGCCATCGACTGGCAAATAACCATCCGACATACCTCCCTCAACTACCACAGCTACAGATGGTTTGTTAAAATGCAGCCCAGGGTTCCTTCTCAGGTAAAGAAGGCAAATTGCTCTGCTCGTGGGCTGGATATTTATGTTGGCTGGACCTGGCTAGATATACAGATGCACTACATGAAACCGACACATTGAGTGGCAACAATGCAAGCCCCCGGGACATCATCCCATGAAAATGGGGCTTCGCGCCGAAGTTCTAACTGGCCAACCGAACTCCCGGCGTCAGACCCTTATATTTAGCCCTACTCTGTAAGCTGGTTGGATTTGGTAATGGTACGAACTGTCGGAGATTTGATTCAGACAAACACAAGAGAGAGTGGACATGGCATTTGCTCAAGTATGAGAATTTCCAAAGAAATCAGTTAATATTGTAATCGGAATTTCTGGCAGCCGTATGTCTTTTATGATAAACGATATCCCGGTCCAGTCATTATTGAAAGTCAGTCAGTCACTTTATCAGAGAGTATCGAGGACTCCGCGAACTCCACCGACGCCTGTGCAGATTGACCTCAAACGTGGTACAGCAAATTAAGCACCAACTAAGGCCCGTTAGTGCGGCGGGTGCGGGAGTTTGTTTGCCCTTAAATTTGTATTCGAATGCAAGTAAAGTATCTTTGGATATGAAGGTCTGTCTTCAACATCAGAAAGTATTTTTTTACGTGTGTTTCTTACACCTAAAGAGTGAAAATATCTCTGCTGAGACCGCGAGCGGTGCAAGGACTTGTACAGTACCCTTCTTAACCCTTCTTAACTCGGAACAGTTGAACGTGGTTTGGGCAAAATGCAACGCCTTGGTGTGATATCAAGTGCTCAAGTTAACGAATAACTATGCACCAACCTATATACGTCGGCAGTCAAAACCTATGAGGACACGCATGGCTTAATGATTCTTCGCATTTGCATCTCTCCATGAACCATTGCAAGGGAAATGTCACTGGAGCACAGAAAATGAAACTGGCTACTTCAATAGCGCTTTCTCTACCCAAAAGCCCTCTTGGTGTAACGGACAACCCCTGATATTGATTGGCTGATTCTCATCACCAACGTGACGCACAATCCCGAACATCATTCTTTGTAGCTCAGAGCACACCGCGACTGAGCGGATCAAGAAGGAAAAAAATCCCTAATGCCGTGACGAGGTCCAAGTATATCTGCAGATTTCTCATCAGAGCCCATGTATTGATACACACTTTCCAGGTTTGCTGTGCGTACACTGTTGAATCGCATCAACTCTTAGTTGCGCGGATGCTGATAACCCAAAACACGCGTAAATCCTACGGAACTGAGTGCGACAAGCTCCATCCAACAGTTCCTTTAGAGCGAGTTTCTAATGGGCTTATGAGTAGCGTAGAAATATGCGCCGGCTGCGGGCTCCGTGATGTGCTCGGGCCTATCGATAGTCGAAATTTTCAAATCTATCTTCGTAACTAGTATCTCAATCTTCATCAATTTGGTCGAGCAAATTCCATATCGACCTGGCCTCTTCGATGGCGTCCTCTTCTTGAGCTGTAAAGTCGGGCTGCTTAAGAGACGGGCCGGACTTCGCAGAACTTGCACCGGCAATATTTGACCCTTCAGCCTCCAACTGTTTAAGAAAACCCTCAACGTTCACCTTAATCCTATCCATCTCTTTTATTTCTTCCTTAGTCCTGTCTAGCTGCTCCTCCATCAGCATTATCAGGGACTCTCGCGCCTGATGCGGTCGGTACAAATTTAGGAGGTGGTGGGCGTTGATAAACAAGTTTCGTATGTCTTGCACTTTGGATTCGAAACGCTCTGGGCAGAGTGCGAGTATGCCGATAAACTCAAGGAAGTTGAGAAGAAGGGATTTGCTGATTTTTAGGAGGTAGAATCGGTGATTGGCAGGTAAGGCGTTTCCCGAGGGCGGGGAGGGGTAAAGTTGCTCGATGCCTTGTTCTTGTAATGAGGGAAGATTTATTGAAACCTGTAAAGACACGATTAACAGAGTTAGGCCAATAACTAATAGAGAACCAGGGCTAGGGATATAAATACCGATTGCGACTCGCCGAATAGCGAGTAGGAACTTGATGTTGGAGCTTGGGGTGGGACTAGGAATCGCAGCTCCGGTGGCAGTTCAAGCATACGAAGAGCTTCAGGTGTCCAAATCTGTTTCGAACCAATCTTTTCCTCGTGCTCTTTCTTGCATTCATCCAGCTTCTTGAGGTTCTGCGACGTGAAATGTTTCCAGAAGGGCGGCGGAGGCGGGAACGCGGCGGTCACTTTTTGTTGTCCGGCTTCTGCCATATTGTGTAAACATGAGCTTTCAACGCTGTTTGTTTATTGAAATTGACAAGAAAATCTCTGGAGTATTCGATTCAGGTTGCAGAGGACCATGGAAATGGGTATCATAATTGCATCGAATTTTGTTGTATGTTGCTTCAACCCACTGTCTGGCGAGATAGGGCTAGCCGCTTTGGGTCAAAGCCTGAGTACCGAGTTTACTGAACTAACGGTCTGATCTCAAAGTACGATTTTGTGGGAATAACCAGTAGAACGTACTATTTAGTGGCAAATAAACGAATTATGGAATTCTGCTATGCAGTCAAGCCAGTTTAAAATAGGATACAATATCTAGATACTCCCGCCTTCTCCCCGTCAGGCCAGGGGTCCCACTGGTTCTCCATGGGCATCGCTGTGCTCTGGAAAACACAACACTCGAATATATATATATATATATGAGTCAATTCACTCTCCCATCGCTTTCTCCACGATACCGACCAACTCGCCACTACTCATCCCTGAACGGATAATCATCGGCATACCATTCCTCCCTCCAGGTACAACCACCATTTTTACTTCCTCCGCACTATCCCTTGGCCACACCAGGAATACCTTATCGAGCAACCGAATCAAATAATCATCCGGGACAATACCCAGGGCCTTACGGAAACAGTTTGTCGTGCTAGCGGGTTCGTGAATACTTTTCACGTCGAGATATACGGTTCCTAATCGCTCCTCTTGGGATACGCGATAGATCAGGGCCGTGTCGATGAAGCAGTAATCGCGCTCTAAGGTGACGGGGTGAGTGTCGACAATGGAGAGGGAGAGGGACAGGTTATTGAGCCTGTCGGTGGGTGGCGTTGGAGGGAGGGAGGTAATGGGCAGAGGGATAGGCCATTGCATGTCCTCTGGCCGCACTTGTCGGTCGACGCTGAATATGTGCTTGCCGTCCAGAGAGAAGGTTAGGTCGGCCATGTATTCTGTATTAAGGATGGGTGGGTTAGTACATTAATCGGACGGATATACACTTGGCAGGAAAATGGGTAATATAGACGATAAAAATATTGGTTGGATTGGTTACCTTCCGAAACTAGCTCAGATTTCATGTTACCGTCATCCTCTACCGAGACGACAAATGTCATATTCTCACCGATCACTGTCCAGTAAGAGTATGCAAACACGCGCGGCGGATAATGGCTACTATCAAATGCAACTTTGATGTCCTGCGGAATCATGCCATGCTCCACCATGATGGAATGGGTATGGAGAAGTTCGCAGCTTCCGTCCGCTTTGCCCTCATAAAGGTGCAATGTCACACTGCCGTTTTCTTCAAACGTGTATGCGAAAATGGGCTGGTTAGGACAAAAGGTGACTTTAGCATCACCACCGTTGGCTAGTTTGAAGGACAGTGGCTGTGGGGATGTCGGATCGCTGATATCGAAAATCTCAGACTTGCTGAGCAAAAAGTGACCGTTTGAATCAAGTGAGTTATTTCCTGAAGAGGGCTCGAGAAGCCGTTTGACGACGGGACAGGAAAGCTCTTGCCCTTCGCTCAGGCTCCAGGCTTCAATTGTCAAATACGGGGAGGGCCCGCTATTAAAGACAGTCAGTTGAGGCAGTCCAAGTCAGCAGATGAAGGGAAGGGGAATTAAGACGAACAGGAAACCAGTCAAGAAGATGGCAAAAAGGCTGCCTCCGTCAGGTGTGATGTAATTGAGCACTTTGCCTCTAGCCTCCAGCGCATGCCGGGAGGCGCGCAACTCGTCATCCTCTGCTGACGACCATATATCTGCCACTGAGCGGCGCGCGACGCTCCCATCCGAAAACGCGATCAGTAGGCCACCTTTAGGCTCTGCTGAAATTGGCGGCGTCATTGTAAAGGAAACATCCCCAAAGGACTTCCAAAGGTAGAGATACTGCACAGATTTGTCATATCCCCCCCCTTTCTTCTGTAGTCCCCAGACAACAATGGACGTTCCTCCTCCGGCATTTATGTCGTCATCGGGCGGCTGCAGCTTCCCAACAACCCTTTCTTCGTCTTCAGTAAACTGACATTCTAGCAGTGCAGTGCCAGAATGAATGGGGAAATCAACCTGTGTACCCGTCGTTGGGCCTTCCCCATCCAAAATGACGCAGATAATTCTAGGATACAACTCCTGGAGGGAGTCGGCATCTGAATTTTTTTGTTTACCCTCGTAGTATGTCAACAGTAGTTTAGCTCCTGAACGACTGAAGGAACGGATGCGGATCCTAGCCCAGCCATCTGCAATACGTTCTTCAATAGAGAACTGGAATGCCGCCGTAAGGTCTCCAGCGTTCCAACGCTCAGAGCCAAATAGCTCCAAGATCTCCAACCATCGGCGGTCGCGGACCCTTGCCGCTCGAGTAGAGCTGAAGCAAGTCTGCGATATGGATTCCCGATTTTCAGGGTTCCAAACCTCCTCAGGCGAAGGCAGTCTATCCTCTGTCGCTAGATCCCAAATTCCACCTGGTGTAATCAACGAGTTGTTTGGACCGAATGCAACAAGACTCCCCCGTACAAGCAGAGAACCAGCCTGAAATATTTCCGAGTCAGAGCGGTCAACAATAATAACCTGAGCCCAATCGGCCGTGACGGAGACCTGCTTCGGGCTGGACAAGCTCCAGCACACTGTGCGATAGAAGAGTTCCTCGTGTGCATCAGGGCAGAATGTTGCTGCAAGGAATGTCGCGTCCTGTTTCAGTTGGGCAGAGCGAACCCTCCAAATTCCCTGATAGTTGTCTTCTCCATTTTCCAGGGCTGGTCGATAGGCAGTAGCTCCGTTGAGGTGGCGACGACTTACACGGATGTTCTCGTGTTTTCTATCAGCTAAGAATACCGACCTGGACTTGTGGTTATATCCGATCCACCCACGCTCACCCTTCGGGAGTGGTTGCTTCTTTGTCAGGTCATTGTTTGGAGCACCTAGGGTAATCAGACGTTGGGGCTTGGAGCTAGTGGCCAGAGAGACATGGCGTCCGGGGGCCTCTACGCACGTATGGATGCATTCAGGGGAATGGGAAATTGTTTCTGAAAAGGTGTGCAGGGCATGTACAACATGCGCGGCCCACTGTTGGGGGGTGTGTGAGAATGCAAGACCTTTCCGAGAGACATTCGTGTCAAGGTTTTGGATCCTTCCCACAGTGTACATTGCAATATCAATACCACCAAGACGAATATATTCCTCGAGCCAGCAAAGGCTCCAGGGCCCATCAAGAAGGAGAGCCAAGAGTTCAAAAAGATCTTCGGATGGTTTAATATTATTTTCACCAGCAGCTATAGCGTCAGCAAATGCGCAAGCAAATTCCGGCCAGTACAATACCGCGTATTCGAAGAGCGGGCACAGCTCCATTAGTTCCTTTCTAATGTGGCTAGATTTGGGAATTCGGAAATATGCATTATTCTGTACTGAGGGTGCATGCAGAACGTTTAGGCATGCTGTTGCTAATACCGCATTCGAGCTCGTCACTTCGACAAAGTACTTCGCAAGGCTAGGTGGGATAGTGATAGATTGCGTTATTTTACGCTGCAGAAACTCTCTTGCGGACAAATGTATCAAGCGAATAGTGTCTCCATCGTCTAGTCCTGAATATTGCACCAGAGAACCGCATGCTTTTACCACATCTCTACGGGAATAAATATATGCCTCTTCGTAGTCGTCGTCATCCTCGTACTTGGCACCTCGAAACTCATCGATCTGCAGTGCCTGGTCTAATTCACACCAGCGCAAGGGCCGGATACTTCCCACTACCCACTGAAACACCCGTTGTACAAAGTCTTGTTCTGCAAGAGGCTTTGCGTTCAGGCCCTCCAATATCTTCACATAGAGCGCTACCATATCGCCCGGCAATTGCAGGAGTGCCTGGCGGACTCTAGCCCCGTTTCCTTGCATTTTGATATCTTTGCACATCAGGTATGCCCATAGAAACATCCCTTTGTGATTTTCTTTCTTGGAAAGCTCATCGATGACTAAGGCCTTGAGGCGACGGTCGGCTGGCGATTGCAGGTTTGACATTCTGTTCACTTTGTGTCGGACAAAGGAGGCGATGTCTCTTTTCACATCATCTTCAGACATTAGGATTGTCATCGTCCTTGGTCCGTTAATGACATCCACGTGTTCGCCAGTCCTTCGGCTAGTCGCAATGACATGTATGTCGGGGTGTGAAACCAGTGTTTTCAAGTCCTTACAGAGGGGCTTAACACCTACACACTCATCAAGGGCGTCGAGAACGATCGTAAAGGTGCAGCCAGCATGTTGAACCGAGCTAGCAAATACAGCTAACATTTCCTCGTAATCAACATGTCGTTTACGGGAGGTATTCTGCAACGCTGTTCGCAGGTTTTCAATCTTACTCTCCAGCACGAAGCTATAGAGTTGTTCGAGGAGAGATCTCACAGCGGCTAAGGGCGTATTTTTCGTCTCATCGTCTGCTTTGAAGAAATGATAGAGTGTCAGGCAAGGTTTCTTGTGATCCGTACCGCTCTGGAAAGTTCGCCGGGCCCGTTCAACTAGAAACGAGCTCAATATTGTCTTTCCCGCGCCGGGAATACCATAAATCACCAAGAATCGCGTGTCAGAGGAAGAACCAGACCATAATTTGAATTCTTGTCTACCCATGACCCACATACAGGTGCCGTTATGTCGCCTCGAGTTTGCCTTCTTTAGATCAGTGGCATAGTCTGGGGCTTTGAGCCAATCAAACACACGTTGGTCGTCGCTTTCTAGTAGTAATGTACCCATATTAGCATATATCTACTCCGGACATACATACAGCAATAATACGTGAAGGGAAAGGGACAATGAACCTACCCCGGTGCGACTGCTGAAACGCATTCCAGAACTGGCTTGAATTCTCATGATGCTGTGCTTGTGCTGCACTCTTTAGCAACATAGTTTGCTCCTTGAGTTTGCTCTGTAACTGCTCGAATTTGCCTTTGATAGAATACGACTTGATAGATAATGAGCCAAATCGCAAATTTCTATACGTTTTGACCGCATAGACCCAAAACTCTAGCAATGCGGAGAATACTTGCTGCCCGACGCTGGACACCAGCTGCGAGTTCTTGAATGTGTTAATCTCCTTTTGGATAATTTCTAGCTCGAGTGAGATGTCTTCGAAGAACCCAAAGACGCTGTCGAAAATACTCTGTGCATCTTCCACGAGCTGGAAGGTAAAGCGGATTGAGCTCCATATTAAATTGCCAGCACCGAAGGGATCCGCGCCGGCGACACTGCTCAGAATGCCATCGAAAGGTTGTAGCACGCCAAGCACTTTACTTACCCGCTCGGTGAATCGTATAGTCTTGCGGTCGTCCTTCGAGGAATGCTTTGCATTGATTGACGTCGCAATGCTGCATAATTCGGTCAACGAGGTGGGACGCTGTACGTCACGCAATTGTTGCGAGCTGAGGTTCTCTTCAAAGGTTTTTAACGCCTCTCTGTAGGCTTGTTCCGCGTAGGTGATTGTCATGCTGGTTGATGTGCCACCAACCGAACATATCTTTCACGACAGAATGGAATAATATATTTGGAGGGGGAAACGTATTCACTTTAAATATAGTAGTATATGGAGGGGCAGCGAGATCCCACCTTAGGGCTAGCTGGCAGCGGGGGGATAGTTGGCAGACGAAAAGCCCATCAGGCGAGGCTGAGACCAGAAAGACCATTTTAACCGCTTAATGCAGCCTCCAATCGAATGCGGGGCCAAATCGTTTCTATTATTGAGCTGGTGGATGCGTCGGTGAAGTGTTCCTCGCCAGTTAGGTAGGAACTGGCATTGTTGGTATATTGTTTTTGACGGTCGGATAGCTGATTCAGGTGGTGAGCAACAAGTTGATATAAAGCGTACACCCACAGAATTAACATCGATTTTCCCACTCACAACATCTTGTCTATATTACGAGAACCGAAGGATGCTTTCCCTTGTTTAGCCCATCCCGGGAGAGCTCGGGCTTCTTGGGTGCAGAAGGCCAGTAAGGGTGTGATATAAATACTTCCAGTCCAAGTACCAACAAAAAATACAAAACCAAATAAATATTACTCAAGCCGGAAATGACTGCGGAAGATATGCGCACATCTTAATTCAATCTAGAAGAAGTAGACCAGACTTCATTCTTGTTCCGTATCCTGAATATAGAGTTATCCCCATTGTGTTTACCAGGTAACTACCGGAACGATGTATTTATAGAGTCCCACGCGCCAAGGGAACCACTAATATTTACCCAAAGAGGCAATTTTGACCGCCATGGGTTTGCTTCAGACAGATCTAATCCACGCCGCAGCAGTTGACAGCATTGTCCCCCCTAGCCGAAATCCCCCATTCGCTGGGATTACGATGCGGAATCTTCCTCTCCATCCAACCACAGACTTTGGCCGCGCTTCGAGTTGACGCACCCCAGTTCTTCCCACGAACCCCCCGTTTGGACACCTTAAACGAAGAAAATGCCAGATGGTGCGTTTGAAAGAAATAATGCCATTTCGGCTCTCGCTAGTCGTCCTGGGATTCTAGGAGCGTTGGTGCGCTTTTGGAACCGGTCGTATGCCGCGGACTATGTGAGCTTGATATTGCTTTGCGTGGGATTGATGTTGGTGAGTCGCCTTGCTTTACCTCTGTTGGCTTATGAAATAGCATACTCTACCCTAGCGAGGGTTATTATTGTAGTTATAGGTGTATATGCTGATTGAGGATATATTTGCCAACAGATCCAAATATGGGTACGACCCTTTAACCGCATGTTCACGCTGGATGATGTTGCTATACAATTCCCTTTCGCGCAGGTGGAGCGGGTTCCATTTTGTGAGTAATGATTTCATGGACTCAGGAAACGACGATCTCAGTTGAAGATGAACTGCCGTACATGACTGATGCGCTAGCTGGAAAATCAATTTACAAAATAAAGTATGGTCAGTCACATATGCGGGAGTGACGCCTTTGATCATCATAATCCTTTGGGCTTTGATGATTCGGCGGGAATCGCACTTCGCCCATGTATCCGTGCTTGGCCTACTCGTCACTCTTATCCTTACGTCCTTCCTGACCGATATCATAAAGAATGCGGCGGGCAGACCGCGCCCTGATTTGCTTGCGCGCTGTCGTCCACAAAAGGGAACGCCCGCACATCAGTTAGTTGCCAGTGATGTCTGTGGAGCGCCTGAATCCCATCAACTTGATGAGGGATGGAGAAGTTTCCCGAGCGGACATAGCAGTTTCGCCTTTGGGGGGCTCGGATATCTTTTCATGTAAGTGTTTTGTTTCAGAGCTCTTAATTAATTCATATCAAGAGGGAGAAAAGCAGTGCTGATGCTCTTCTTACGGCAGGTTTTTCGCAGGCCAATTGCATGTTTTCCAGCCGCGAACAGGCCTAGCCTGCTTCCTTTTCGCTCTTTCGCCGTTATTAGGTGCTCTGATGATTGCGATGTCTCGATTAGCAGATTATCGACACGACGTGTATGACGTGACGGCTGGCGCATTACTTGGGCTATCGGTGGCATATTCTATTTACCGACGCTATTTTCCGACACTACTGTCGGCTGATTGCCACACGCCGTATAACAGAACGAACATACCACCAGAAGGCTTTCATAGGGTCGCGCGGGATGAGGAAGAGCGCTTGGTCAACGATAGAGCTACTCGAAGTCCGACCAGGGAGTTTGGTAGGAGGGATACAATGCGGGAAATAGAAGCTGGACGAGATTGATGAACCCGTGTTATGCGAATTGATGGGATAGGATCTTCTTTCTTTGGGAGTCATGGGATTCTTGTCTTTTTCAGCTTATATGAATACTGACCACTCAATGCAGGGTGCTGAAGCGTGACTGGGGTTTATTTTTATATTATTTATTATTTTAATTTTTTATTCAGATTTGCGCAGGTGTCGTTCGAATTCCTTTCACAGAGTGTCTTATTGATCACTTTTACATCGTTTTGTTTCGATAGCTTCAAGACCGAATGCTAATCGTGTGAACTAGAAATTGCCAGATATATCTCTGAATTTATATATATTTCCATGCATTATTCGGACGGCTCCAACACCCTAACCCAAGCTGTTTGGATTTGGGCCTTCCCTCTATGAATGCTCCCTACACCACACTATGGCCTTAAGTCTTCAATTCCGACCTCGACACAAATATGCCACCCTGATTCTCATCTAGATCATTAGTTACCCCAACTGTAACTTTTCCACGCCCATTCTTCTGCTTCCGCGCCAACGCCATAAGCTCAAAAGCAAAAAGCACAAAGTACATTCCCAGCAGAGCCGCCGAAACAATATGCGGCCACAGGACCACCGCCTCTTCCACTAACCTACTGTTATTTTTAGTATGCACGATCACTGCTTCGCCCACTAAACCGACCATGAGCTGCAGCAAACCCGTGAAAGGTAGAATCGGTCTGAAACTGGCAACTCCGCCGAAATATGCGTACATGAAGGTGTGATGGAGCGTGTTGAGGCCGGCGAGCAGTTTCCAGCCGGTGTGGTTGCGGAGGACGCGGATGTATGTAAGGTATGGGGTCATTTGGGTTTGATAATTTACGGTCGAAGATTAGTCAGGGACCTTTCATTTTTGATTTGTTCTTTTGCCAGGATTCAATTATATTATATTAATGAGTTCGATTATGGGGCGGGAAGGAGCAGGGAGCCGGTTTATATTTTCAAATTCGCACCGTCAAATGATGAAACCCGAAATGCCACCCAATGCGTCCTCCTGTAGCTAGGATGAGAAGAATATCAATATACTCATATGTTTTCGACAGATGGTAGATATGCCTCATCTGCTCATCATGGGCTCGCACATAGGTGCCAAAACGATGTAATGCATGTATGTAGAACATCGAGGTCACATAATCGCGTGAACAGCTTAGAGGAACAGATGAGGACGATGAAGAATAGCAGGGAAACGAAGGAGTAGATGTAGTTATTGACTTTTATGGGCATGGAGGCGTGGGGAAAAGGCCCTTGCTTGTGGATATGAATATGATAGTGAAGGGATACAGAGAAGATGAAGAGGGTTATGCTTGAAGGGATCACGGAGGTGATAGAATACATAGTTGCGAGAGAGATGTAAGTATGCTTTGCTCCTGCGTGTATGCTTTGGGCTGCATAACCGGTGGTGATCAGTGGGCGATGGTAGATGCTAGTATACAAACTACATTTCTGCGACGGTCAATGGAATTTTTACACCCATGATCTGGAGTTGGAACACGAGGGCGGGGCTCTGAGGCTGGGTCTCAAAGATTGATGAGATGAGATACGGATGCCTGAGAGCGCACAGTGTTTGATAGTGTATGAAATCCTACCCACTGCAATTCCAGGCGCTCTAGTTAAGCGCTTTAACTACGGGGACGCCTAAAGTGGTTGATCAGCCGCCGAGGTTAGGCTACCCCCCCCCCCCCCCGAAGCCGTTGACAACCGAGTCTGGCAGATCACCACACGTGACTCGGGTTTCGTCATGGTTTGCCAAGCCACGTGGTGACCAAACACCCCACCAATGATATCCACGGATCATCACAATGATGACAATCTTGACGTTGGCTCTCCACGCCCGCGTTTATGTATGTTAGCCATGGCCTCTCCCATCGAGCCTTAAAACCACATACGGTCCTTTACGCTGGCGTTGGGACGACATAGCCTCACGAGACACCACCCTAACACCGCGGCTCTACCCCGGTGCTGTATATCTTTTTAATTCATCGTTTTGAATGCGGCCCTGGAGTCTCTCCTCAAAGTTACCGCCATGTCCTCTAATGCACAAACTGGGGCCTTAACGGACTCGTCCGGCACCCTGTCTGGAAGCCAATTGACGAAGCAGCTCCAACAGAAGATGACCGGATTGAAGGAGACAACAGGACCTGAGACTCCAGCTGCAAGTCGGTCCCCAACGAAAGCCCGCTCTCTTTCCGAGGCACCTTCAAGAACCCCCTCCTCCGTCTCACCGAACCCTTCGAGCATCCAACGAACTAAAGATGATATAGCGGTTACCGCAGCTCCTGCAACACCCCACAGACCCGATCGCCTTACACATGGACTATCACTGCAAATGCCCTCGAGAATGTTTGGTAGCCCTATCGCAGCAGGGAATCGAGTCCCTCTCTCCCCGAAGCTGGATTCTTCGCACATATATGGCTCACCCGCCTCAGTATTACCGCGGCGATCCAGGGGATTGGACTTTTCACGCGCATGCACGAATTTACATCATTCTACCTTGGCTGAATCGTCGCCAGACTCCTCCCCGGTCGTTCTTGGTCGTGGAGTAGCTATACCCAATCGCCGGAGTAATACCAACTCGGCGGGAATGGGTTCTCCGGGCATGCCCGGGGGCAGCACCTGGCAATCCATTGGTAACAGTGATCGAGCTGTGATATCCAGCTCCGTGAGCAGTGTCAACATGTTCGAATCCGATACCACTAGTAGTAGCGACGGGGATGAGGACGACTCCATGCATATAATCGATAGGGAAGATCCGATCCTAATGACCCCACATCTTGCTCGACCGGGAAATGCGTTCTCGACACCATTTTCTCCAAGCACAGCTCAAAGCCCCGGCGGTGATTGGATGAGTGGGCTTTCTGCTGCTAAAGCCAGCCTCATGAGTTTTCAACGTGCCCGACTGCGTGGTGCTAGGAGTAGACACAGCTCAAGTAGCACCAGCGGTAATAGCTCGAAGCCCAGCCCTGGACCCATATCACCACCCGTTTTTAAAAGTATCGAGAGCGCCGCCACTGGCTATTTCCCCAGAGAAATGTCCATGAGCGAAGTCAAATCACGGCGGGAAAGCCTAAGTCTAGGCACGAGTGACCTACATTTGTCAGACATGAGCGATGATGACAATCGACTAGCTCGGTTTGGTAGCCCGTCCAGCAGCGCTCCCTTACCGGGGACAACAAATATCGAAAGCGGGCCTCACGGTGTAATTCGACGTCCTGTAACGAGGAGAGGAAATTTACTGGTACAGTTGCGCCATGCTACTAATCTTGGAAGATTTGATCTGCTAATGCGTTATGAAAAAGCCTAAAACGAAGAACTTCGCCCGGATCCGGGCGGCACTGCTTGAAGAAGTAGCCCCGATTGATTTCGAGTGTCAGCGGGAGGCTGAAGTCATTCGGCAGGTTCGCGAGAGCGAAGGCGGTGAATTACCCCCGCTCTCACCTTCCTTAACATCCCCTCTAGACTCGTCGGATTCCATTAATCCGAATGATGCAAGGGACATTGTCACCACCGGGCTCACGGGAGAAGGGTCGTCATCAAGCATTTTCACCAGCCATCCATCCAGTGGTATAGGCCGTTTAAGTGCCTTTAATAACCGATATCAAACTCCACCTCCGCCGACAACCCAACCCACTGGCCCCTTCACTTCCACCTCTACCTCCGATACAACGATGCAAACACCCCCATCTGCATCCCCGGGCGTCTTGGCAAACCAACACACCAGTAACAACGCCCCGCAACCTTCCGCCGCTGCCGGCCCTTCGCGCATCGAAGCGGAAGCGTCCCGCACAAACAAAAAACGTAGACACGATGAGATGATTGATATGAACGCGTTCAAGCGGCGGGCAGTTTCGCCAGGGATGTATGTGCAGAATTGCCCCGTCACGGCCTCTCAGCCTTCCTCATCGGGATCTTCTGCTTCGTATTTGAGCAAGAAACTTAGCAAGGAACTTAGCAGTCGAGCAGAAGGTGACGCTCAGACGCAGCTGCAGTCGAAAAATCCCCTTACTTCGACATCGACACCGACAACTGGAAAGACTGGGAGGGTGACGGAGGGTAGTACTATGAAGAGGGTTGGGATGCAGGGGATGAAAGAGACAAATGACGGGTTGATGAATATGAGTATTGATTGATCTGCGGTCTCCAGGTGTTGAGATTCTATTCTTCTGTGTCGTTACGATTCTCTTTTCATCTCATTTTCTTTTATTTACTTCATATGCGTATTTAGCGGAGGCGCTCTCGGGATATTTTTTTTTCCTTGTGGCCTACTTTCTATTATGTAGCATTCTTGTTGTTCAACATATTTAGCTTCTGGGTTTCTTCGGTTGTGCTTCGTATCCTTTGCCTATCAAGACAAATGATTTCCTCCTTTTTCTTTTTATCACACAACGCGGACAGAAAGCTCCACCATACTCTTGTTAAATTGATTTCTTTAGAATATACTGCCGCTCTTCACTACATATACATATATATTTTCATGCAAAAAGCTATCAAACCTCGTACTTTGGCGGATGCTGCGGCTATCGCGCTTATGGAACGGCGGCTGCGTTAGTTAGCGTTTCGCCATCCAGCACCTCGAGGGAAAACGGGCGGGGAGTTCCATGATTATTACTCGCTATAGCTAATATATATCTTTCCTCCTTTAAAACTAGAGAGTTGCTCAGCTCATTACAACCAATTATTCCTTGATATTTTACACCACATTACTGCTTCGCTTTGCATCTGCACTCGTTATACCCCGCTCCCGTGCGCTGTCGCTTCATCATGCCGTCGAACCTCGAGATTGCATCTTCATTTATTCGAGGTGCTCCACCAGGAGAGGTATGAATGGTCAATTTTCTTTATGTATTACCGAATTACCTCCATCTTGCGTGTCAAATATTCTAATTTCGTGATGGATAGCTCTCGGACGTTGTCGCAGGTACCTAGCATATCAAACAATCTCCAATATACCCCACCCCTTCTTTCCCCCTTCCACCGCACCCCACAAATCTGCTTCTCGCCTCACGCTTATACTATATATATGCTTCCTCAAAATCGTCCTCTCCGTTTTCTCCGGTTTCCAGATAGCTGATCGTATCATAATTCCATTGGAAAATCGCAGATATAAAAGCATTGACCCCGGAGGGACCGGCGCTCATTTCTTCGCTTGCGCCTGCTTTCGAGAAATACAATGAGGAACAACTAGCTACTGTCAAGCTGCCTGGAGGCAGTGAAGAGGTATATGCACTCTCAATCGTTTAGCTACGGAATTGGAATCCAACAACTTTCAAGGGTTGTCCTTTATATTCGTCGGGATTATTGACGATTCCCGTGAGCTTTTAGGTTATCGTTAGTTCATATAATAAGCTTGATAACAATCGATACTACGATGTACAGACTCAGACATCGTTTCAATTTGATCACGTCACTCAGGTTCGTATATGTCCCTTACTTATATACCTTATGCTGGCGCGCGGGGCTACGAGTTCCGTAAATGTTTGTCTTTGGCTGACGATGTCAATCATGTGGATGAGTAGACTGCCTCGTCGCCACAATCATATGTTCTGGAGTCGCGGCATTCCGATTTGATGTATGTAATTCTCGCCCTTCTCATTTCGTCTGGAGGTTATTTATTTTGACGATTGTGAAGTAAATCGCTCCTGAAATCGCTCTCAGCACATGCTCGAGAGCATTACCCAAGTTGCTCGTACGGTGTATATCCAACGGACGATGACTCTACCGTTGCTATCCTATTAGTCGCGAACAAATATTCTCCAAATAATTTCTGGTATGTCGTTCTTCTATCTACATCCTGCGCACGGATGGATTCTGTTTTGTCAGCAGTTATACGACATCTTAATGTTATCAAAACAAAAGCTGACCAGGGAATCATTACACACAGGAACGGCCGATACCGAGCCATTTACACAGTCCCCGCCCCCTCCACAGACACAATAACCGGCACTATCCACATTAACGTCCATTACTACGAAGATGGCAATGTATCGCTAAACACCACAAAACCCATCTCGATATCCCTCCCTGTCAATTCTTCCGCGGATACGGTTATCAAACGCATCGCTGCGGCGGAACGGGCTCAGCAGCTCGAACTCAGTGACGCTTTTAGCAGATTATCGGAAGGGGCGTTTAAGGGCCTCCGCAGGCAATTACCTATTACGCGGCAAAAGGTAGAGTGGGAGAAAGTGGGCGGGTATAGACTCGGGCAAGATATTTCAGGTGGGAAGGGTCGGTAGAGAAAGGTCAAGAGAGGGACCGGTGGCGCGTGGGAAGCTTCATCTTTCTCTTTCTCTCTTTTCCTGAGTAAATAGAAATATTCGATTTAGTTAAGGGAGATAGCGTAACGATATCATTCGATTTATCCATTGCCGTCCAGGACGCCTTTTCGAAGTAAATGCTCCATTTAAGCAACCGCTCCGCTTGTGTATAGAGCTGACCCGAGCAGCGTGCGTAATTCCTTCTCCAACCTGCAGGCAGTCCCCGCATTTAATCTTTTCCAGCCCTATCACAAAGTCCGAAATGCTGCCGGGACATATGCTGTGAGTGCGGAGTAAAAAGCCCGCCGACGGGCATTTGTTAGTTAGCGCATCCAGCGTCAATAACGAAACGGAACCACCCAAACCTCGCACACAAAATTATATATAACTAGTATTCTTACTCCCTTGGATAGATTCCGCACTTTTCACTGTCGCCGCGTGAATCTCATCCCTATCATAGAATTAGCATTACACGACCCCAAACCTTGAAGCATGGCAAATCGCCACCCACAATCCCTCCTCAAGCAATTCACGAACTACACAAACTCCGGCATCGGGTTGGAGAACGTCTTGCGTGTGATCCAGTCAATATGCCAGGTCATCTCAGCTTCAGTGGCGTCAGCGTCTGAGGCAGAACCATGGACGAAGGCTTGGATTAATTTGGCACTGAGTATGTTCCATCCTATTTCTCTTTTTCATTATATATATATATTTAAAAAAAAAACCCCAAACAAAAACAAAAACAAAAACAAAAACAAAGCTCTTTCATATCTTGTCTCTCGTTCGAATTATTTTGCCCGGGGTCTGAAGCGGCGGATATTCGCCGGTCATGCTCTTGGGCTTTATCCCAACAAACCGCGGTGGTGTGATAATATCTGAATAGTAGTTGTTCGTCTGCGATCACGATGTCGGGAGAATATATCCATACGACCTTCTATAGGGGCAGAAGCCTCTATATCCTCTTTCTAAGTGTGCTACCAAGTGTATAAATTGACATTTGAATTTCCTTGTTCGTCTGAAATTCTCCCAACCTTGAGGGTATTCTTGCTTCTGGTTGCATATCCGGGCGTTTTCATCATACTAGTATTCATATAACGATATGATGTGCATTTCTCATTCAAGAAGCACGTGAAATCAAGGACAAGAGAATTGATTGTTTTTCCCACCCCTTTTCAGGTCGCCGATACTTCCGCTACTTTCAATTTATCGACTGCTTTGAGCGGGCGTGGGCGATTCTCTCCGGACAAGACCCGGCGTCAGGTAGGGGATACGTGGTGCGGACCATGGCGGTGGGAGAATGGAGCTGTTTGGGTGGCTACCTACTCCTGGAGGCTTTTACGATTGTGAGTCGACAACATCACGCAAATCTTCTCATGATAGAATATCCCTTAATTCTGCTTTGACAAGGACTTTGTTTCATTCTACATCATCTGGCTAGTAATCGGGGGCAATGATATCATTATAACAACGATTAAACAAGTCCCAATTTTACCGACTAACCAAAAACTGGTTCCCAGCTCGACGCCCTAAACATTCATCCAACTCAATGGGCTGAACAGGTCCTTCTCGAAAGCTACAGATTCTGGTTCTATTCGATGGTTTTTGCCAGCGTGAGGATTTTATGGCAATTATTAGTGCCACCCTCTCCGCCCGAAGGTCAAGAGGCGAAGCTCGTCAATGTCAAACAGGAAGACGAAAAGGGGGATTCCAAAGTGGGGAATAAGAAATCATTTGCCGGAGCGAGCGATGAGACTGTTGCAGGTAGCAATGCGGATATGAACACCGTCCACCTGTTGACAGAACTTGTAATCCTTGGATGTGACATTTTAATTCCTGTGCAAGCTCTGGGGTGGCTGAATGTTGACGACGTGACTGTTGGTAGTGCGGCAGTCCTTAGCACGCTATTGATGGGGAAGGATAAGTGGGTTGAAGTGCAGGCACAAGTAGGCGCTTTGTCAAGGGGACAAATTGGTTGTTAAAATGTTGGATTTTCCTATCGCTTTGGTTCTGATATGATTGGATTGGGTTGAGCATTTAGAATTCCTTTGAGTGTGACCGCGGAATGAAGGGAATATAATATATTGCAGTAGATGTTCGTATGCCCCGAAAAAATATTGATGAATAAATCCGAAAACCTCCTGTCCATACCTACACTAGCCTCTCATGATCATAGTGGCAGAGTATCAAGATTCCGTCAAAATACTCCTATTCGACCAAAACTCGCACTCATCCTGACTCCACACATCATTTGCTATTTGTGCTGGAATCCCAATCCCACCGCCTCCGGCCCGCTCATCATTCCCTTCACCAAATAGCATAAGAGTCCTATTTTTCTTCCACCACCTACCACCAAACGCCTTCCACTCAGGTCTATCCGGAAATCTTCCGGGGACAGCATTAGGATCACCAGTGGTAAGAAAGGACGTGAAATATGCATGCAATGTCCCAGCGATTTCTTCCTGGGCAGCGGAAATCTGCCGCACGCCGCGGCTATACGTTTCGTATTCGGTCTGGTCCGCATGGCTTGCACCACCCTTCACGGTTTTATTTAGAGCCCAGTGGTACAAATATACCGGCGCTTGCTGTCCCGCCGATGCGTGGTGGACAGTTTGCCGAACAGGGCATATATAAGCGAAATTACCGTAAGCGGCCTCGACACGCTTGAACTGAGCACCTACTCTTATGTTTCGGGTCTCCGCATAGGGAGAGGATGGGTACTTTAGCGGATCTGGGTATAATTGGTCAAGCTTCTCGAGGTCCTTTTCAGGCATGGCTGGAATGAGCAAGCGGAAAAAGTTGATAAATTCCTCTGACTCGGACATCTCTAAGGGAACAAAGGAGGTACCTTCATTCGTGTTGAAGCCAGTGAGGATTGAGACTTTGTTCCAGCTACCAGCTTCCCAGGCTTTGATAGGAGCTTGTTTGATGATATCGCCGTCGATGACTGGCTGGAACGCCCAGCGATCTGAAGACTCGTAGCGGGAGAAGATCTTGGATGAGGCCAAAGCAATGGTTAGTGCCGGTTTGCTTCGTAGGCATGACATGATTCCATCTTCCTCCAAACCAGAGCAGCCAGCTTCAACGAGAAATTCTTTAAATTGAAGCTCGTGGAGATTGTGGTTATAGGGGTAAACGGCACGAGAGGTTGCTGCTCCAGATTCCATAATGACTCGGCGAAAAAGTGACGGCATTCCTTCCTCATAATGCATGACATGGTGGCCGATCTGACGATGTTAGTGGACGTTTTTACAAGACGCTACTGATCTGATAGTTCATACTGAATGTGCTCCAGCTGATAGCCCAAACAGGGCGACGTCGTTTGGATTGCCACCGAAAGCTTCAATGTTTTCATGCACCCATTTCAATAAGAGGTTTTGGTCACGTAGACCTACGTTAAGTGCGTTTCCCTTTGCTGCAACTTTCGATGATAGGAAGCCAAATGCACCAAGTCTGTGAAACTGGTCAGCGCATGAAAATCCACACAAACGAATATTCTGCAGTCTTACCTGTAATTGAAGTTCACAGCAATATATGGCTTTTCGGACCACGCCATCATAGAGGCGGAGTTGTGACTTCCCCCTATCGTAGGATAAGCTTTCATTTGCTTTCAAGGTGAAACTTGAACAGATGGACGAGTAGATGGACACACCATTTCCAAGATTAAAAGCGCCACCATGGAAATATATTGCTACTGGTAATTTGTTCGTCTTATTTTGCATCCGAGGGCGGAATATATTCACGGTCAGACAATCTTCAGACCATCCATAAAACAAAAGCGGAGGTGATGCACATCTATTCTATCGATTAGAACTGACGTCTATTGACTTTAGAGGCCCGAAAGAAAAGGCTTAGTTAAATTTCTAGCCTTACCTTTTGCCATAGCTTGTGGCATCGATTGCATCATTAGACGCATGGACGGGCACTGGAGGACTGAATCTCCTTTCGTTCGTCGGTGGCAGCGCATATGGGATTCCAAGAAACGCCTCAACGGGCTTTGGTAGATTGTCTCTGAGAACCTTCCCAACTACAGTGCCTTGGCGAAGAGTCACAGCTGGTGTCTCCGTGGCCCCTAGAACAACCGCTACACGAGCCCATGATGGGAGGATGACTTGCCATGAGATAAAAGGGAACCAACGGTAGCACAAATCTTCAACATCAAGGTAAGTATTCAACACGGACAGCCGTAGCGCGAGCAATGCTAGCAGAAAGATAATAGGCACGGATATAAGCCAAATGGCGCGCTTGATCAGCGGCATGGTTTGGACATGGGTTTGAGCCAAGCCTTACTGCTGTAGTTTGTTTAACAATATTTCACACGTGGACACAGCGCGCGGATTGTTATCCAACCACCAACACCAATCTGGTAGAGACGGCAGATAATAGATTCCTCGTGGCATGCCCTAATACAAAGGCAGACTGCGCAACCATCCACTTATTTTGATCCTGTAAACAAGATTAAACATTGAACTCGTAATGGAGGTCTTGATGGCACCAAAAGCCACTGAACAATCTTACCGGGGATAGCCAGTCCTCGAGTTTGATGACCCAGCCCCGCCGTCGTATCGGCAAAATAGTCGTGAGAATAATGTTGTGATTGAATCCTTTATTGGACGTCTGGATATCAGTTCAGTTACATCAGCAGGGATCAGCCTCACAAAATTAAGGTTTGAGGAAAACGAAATTTTTTCCCCATCGGGAAATAGTTTAATTCATCGACACGATGACATAAGAGCGCAGCAAACTTCCTTTCCAAGGGCGACTGCGCCTCCAACACAGCAGCGGAGGATGCGGAGAAAGAATACGATGAAATCATTCTCCAGGCTCCAGGATAAAGGTGGTTGGATTGGCAGCTGGTGGGCGAACTGATATCCTTCCAACAAACTTTAGGCTATCTCACAGACAAGTGATACGAGTGTATATAAAATGCTCGCCTCAGTCCAGCAGAGGATGATTCTCAAATTATGCTCTCCTCCACCATAGTACAGATTTCTACATAAGGGTGTATTCGCCTTTCCTACTCTCTATCTCAGAACGGTTCTCTCTTTGAATTGCGCTCTCCTAAATATCCTCATAATGTCATCGGACAATCCTCTCATAGACAGCGCCCCTCTAGCAAAGGAGAAAGAAACCCTCAAGAGCTCTGCGGTTTCAATTAGCTCTACCGAAACTGCGGAGACGCTGATCAATACCCCAGGCTCATTCATACCCGGTCGCTCTCTACTCATTGACGCTCGTGGAAAGGCACTTCTGCGTCTACCCACCCCACCCTCACAACTCGAAATCCACATTCATAACCCAGATGGGTCGCTCGCATACGTATCCACACGCAAGAAACGCTTCTCGGGAAATTCGACTCTCTCATCGCCCGAGCGCGGCGAAATAATATTCACCGAATATTTTTGCGGCCCCAGTAGGGAACCTATCATTCATCTTCTAAATGCGTCTGAGAAATCTTCTCCGCAGATGAAAGCCCAAGGGAAATACACGTCCCGAACGACGAACTTCTCTGCACCGGATGGGTCCGCCTTCGAATGGAGGTATGTAAAGGAACGTGGCCCAGATGGGAAGAAGGAAAAATTTGTTGTGCTGGAGAAGCTGGAAGTTGCCGGCCGCAGAAGAGTCGCACACCTGCTGCGGAATAAACAGACAATGCCACCTAAGACGTCAAGGTGTACAGCAGGGAACGGTGGAGAGCTTGTATTTGATCAACATGCATCCGAAATGATAGATGAAGCGTTGATTGTGGCTACTTGTCTGCTGATGCTGAAGAAGGAGACTGATCGCCAGAGGGCTTTGCAGGCATTTGTGCTCTTCGCTGGTGTTGCTGGTTCATAAGTTTCGCCTTCATCCTCATAGATTGTTCTTTTGTTCTCCCTTCCTGCTCGATTTTCTTATTGATTTCTTGCATATCCAAGCATTTTGCCGCTAAGTTTAAGATGCGATCTGTTAAATAGTTGGGGATCATATCTGGGTGCATCAAAACATAAATTGGTAAACTGTATGGTGTCTTATAGTAAATAGGGTGCGATCATATCCTGCTGCTTCCAACATCCTCTGTTCAAACAATTTCGCTTGCTTAAATGAAACAAATTCGACGACCTTAAAAATCCAAAATAGTTTGACACTCAATGACACATGGAACCTCCCAAAAAATATCGATCTCTCCATTCAAACTTGGGGGTAGTTTTAAGTCCAGTTTTTTCAGTGACACCCACAACCGGACTCTTCTGAATCAGAAAATGTCCAAGCCGAGAGAGGGAGCCAATATCTTCAAGCCCGTTCATCACATTCAATCACATCCGTAATGCGTTTTCACATAACGATACAGACGAAGCAATCGCAATCTTCATCACCACAACCGCAACTAAAGCAGGGTTTGGTGGTTCCCTTGACGGGCTTGGTAATGGTCGATGTAGCAGAGCTGGAGGAAGTGGGAAGAGTGTGGTTGACGAGTTGAGAGCCGGTGGTTGAGGCCATTGTTTCAGGATTTTTGTGTAGGGCGCGGGTTCTATGTCGCGGTGTAGGTTTAAGGATAGAATTTTTGGCTGGAGTGCTTTCCTGTAGAGGGAATGTCAGCGGTGGGGTCTCGCAACGTGTACTCCACGCAACTATTTACAATTCATCACGACTTGGGGGTCTTTAGAAAGACGGGAAAAGTCATCATAAATGTATTTGTATCTACACACCTGCTAACCTTTGTTCCGATTCCGGTTGTGCGAGACGGGTTTGATAAAATACCAGAGCGTGTCGTTGAGCTAAATGGGATATTCGAGTAGTAACCACGACGAAGTAGTGATTATCACTTTCTCCGCCGTTTCAGCCATCAAAAGCTTAAATATGTGGATGCGACGCCATGTGACTTCCACACCCATGGATCCTATTTATGGGCCACGCCCCGAGAAGACTACAAAAGCTTGTTTGATGTGAATCCAGCCAGCATTTCGGCTTGCACTGCGGCACCAGGTATGATATAAGTAGCAACCAGCCTGAAAGCTCAAAATGGCCAAGCCGCCAAATGCAATTTAGAGAATGCGACTTAACGGTGGCTTGTTAGGGCGTTATTTAGAACGATCCAAATCTTCTGTTCCTGATCACGAGAATAGTTTTTTATTCTCATAGGACCAACATGCCCTCCTGACATGGGACAATACCTCTGACGCAGATGACTGGAAATTCGTATTCTCTGCTTGCTCTGCTAGTTTGGGATGTCATGTAAAAGCAACAAAGGAGATAGGTCATGAGTAATCTGTATTTATTGATGATATATCTTTAGTCGCCAGAATGATCTACGGGATCCACTATACATTTTCTAGCCATCTTAGGATTGCTCGCATCATGACTCCATCATGATACCTTAACGCGGCATCCAGGGCGGGCTGGACATGAACTTCCCCCTCACACTCTACAAAAATGAAGTCCTTCCCGCCTAGAACACTCCAATCAGTTTCACGCCGGGCGGCAACAGTCTGTGCCCTTACGCAATCCCTAGCGAACCTCCTGCAACTGTCCAGAAGAACTTCCGCCGTGCCTGCTGTCACCATCGCATTCTTGACCAGACCTGGCGATCCCTTTGGTGACGGAAACACTTGACTCCAGACATCTTCAGCGCCTTCCCCTTCGCATAGATCTGCCCATACATCTTCCTCGGTAGGAATCCACAATCCCTTAAGCCAGGACACTCCGGTCCGATTGATATAATCCTTCTCAGCATTCGTCTCATAGCTCCCTTGATCCACCCTCATCGTAGTCCAGGGGCTCACAAACAGCACAGCTCTAAACCTGCCACCATTGATATCCAGTGATGCAGCGTAAGGCGATGTTTTGACCATGTGCGCCAACAACGAGCCTGCCAGGTGGCCGCCCGCGCTGTCGCCAGCAAGTATGATGTCTTCAGCCCGCAATAACAAGTCCTTTAGAAGGTACCGAAGCGCAGACACTGCTTGAACAAGTTGAACTGGGTATTGATACTCCGGGGCTAGAGCATACTCGAGGAAAACTACTTCTCTGGCCTTGCAGGCTGCGGCACACCGAAGGACAAACGGCATATGAGCAATTCCCCTGAGGGGGTTGACATATCCGCCGCCATGGAAATACAGCAACACCGGCCCATCTGCAGTGGCTGAGGGGGGCGTGATAAAGTGCAAGGTTGGCGGTGGCGCATATACACCCGAGCCCACTTTGCTCTCAGTGGGGATAGTATGGTTCACGAGTATTGTTTTAAGCGGGATTCTGTGCCTGGTGCAATAGCTCTTGATTGCCGACCCTGTTGGATTGTTTCGAAGGCCATGGGTCAGCTGGTGGAAGGAAAATGTAGCCGTTTGCACTTGGAGATAGGTAATGGATAGCCTTTGGCGCCAATGGAGAGATTTGTTTATCTTGTTTGTGAACGCAATCGCAAGTAAAAGCTGAATCACTATAATTCCCCGTCAGCATGTGTATTTGCTTGCGAGCAATTATAACGCAGTAAATGGCCGTCCGACTGGGTAGGTTCAAGTTAGTAATTTAATTACCAAATACCGGAATAAGAGCATAATAGAGTGCCTTCTCACGGATGGTGAGAGCGTTTGCTTGAGTGGTTGAATGCAATGAAGTCATATTATCACCAGGCAACTCACGGAGTTGAGAGAGATCAAGGACTTTCAGATAATCCACTCGGCGGGATATTGTGGTGGATGTAAAGCTTGTGAAAACAGAATTTTCTGCCACCCCCTGAAAAGTAGTAGCAAAACACTGCAAAAATAATCAAAATATTCATGTATCTCTAGAATCATTCAAATATCATCCAATTCATTCAAATACACATCTTTATCATCAAATATGCATCTTTATCATCAAATCTGTCAATATGTCCCACAACATCCACTGTTCTACTGTCTTACAAGCTTATAAAAGAACTTCAACTATTCTGCATCTTTATCTGCTCAAACTGTCTATTTTGAATATTTCAAATAATAACAAAAATTCAACTGATGATGAGAAGAAGAAGAAAAAGAAGAAAAAAAAGACACAGTCAGAAGATTCTTAATTTCTATAAATATCTATTTCTGAATCTGAGATTTTATTCAGACTGTATGAATAGATGATTATCAATAAGATAAAAAAATCTATAAAGATTAAGTTATAGAATATCATAATAAATAATATAACTGTCAGTTTCTATTGTATTCAATATACTATAAAAAGAATAGCTGAAGAGTATGTTATAAAACAGAATTGTAAAAAAATAGAAGTTGTAAATTATATAGCAGTTATCTCATTAAATAAATATAAATCTTCAATCAAAATCATTCTTGAGAAGAAGATAGATTGAAGAGAGATTATCACTCTTTTGAAGAAGTTATATAAAAAGAAAATGAGTGAATTTAGTATTGAGATTATCATCTCTTTTAATCTTTTTAATATCTCAACTCTATTTTCAAATATCTCTGTAATACACAGTTCTACAGCTTTCATTGAAATATTAGATTTATAATTAATAATTCAGATATTAATATTAAAAAAAGTATTAGATATCAAAAAAAAGTAATCTTATTATCTATCAAATTCTCTCTCTATTATTCTGTCAAATTCTCTCAAATTTATAAAATATCTAATAATGAAAAGCTGCTATCTATATATATAAGATTCACAGTCACTAGTCAGCAGCTGAAGAAGACTTGAAATTGATAATTAAATAAATATAATTCTTTATAGATTAGATATGAGATAACTGTTCACTGATATTATTAAAAGATAAATTATTATAATTTTGAACAGAGTATTTATTGAATAACTTTTAATAATACTTATATTCAACTTCTGAATAGTGAGATTGTCAGTTAAATAGATGATATTAAATATAAATATACAACAGTTAAAAATCTGTCAAAAAAAATAATAAAAAGATTAATAAATAGAAAAAAGAAGAAGAAATAAAAAAATGAATCTATCTCTGCTTCTAATTTTTCTATATAGATATCTCAAATATCAGCAGTTATCTTCTCTCTTTTAACTTCTTCTTCATCTAATATTATATCTTCAAATAAGATAATCAATATAATGATGATGAAATATATAATAAAAGAAATAAAAGATATGAAAAAACTGAATTCAAATTTACTATTAAATTCAAATCTATTATTAAATTCAAATTTATTATTAAATTCAAATCTGTTATTGAATTCAAATCTATCATTGAATTCAAATCTGCTGTTAAATTCAAATCTGTCTTTTATTCAAAATAGTTCAATTTCTCAGTTTAATGAATATACAGATCTGTTTATTAATGAGTTTTTTAATTGATTAATAATAGAGAGATTTCAAAAAACAGAAGTTTTTTTAACTGTAAAAAATATTATTCAGAATAAAGAATTTAAACTGAATTATATACAGACAATAATAAATAAATAGATAATTTAATTGAATATTGAAATAGATATATTTTTAATAATAAGAGATAAATTAAAGAGTTTTATCTGATAGTTATAGTTGAAGAAGATTAAATTGTTTTTATCTACTGTTTATAGTAATAACAGCAGATTTCATACTGTTTCTACTTCTGAATTTGAAACTTAGATATTATATATTATTATAATTGAATTGCAATCTGAATCTTTTTAGATTTTACAATACTATTCTATATAAACAGATCTGAAATATTCTTTTATATCTTCTTCTCTTATAAAATTCTCAACTGTATAATATAAGAAGATTTTAAAATCTTCATCAAACTGATTCTCTAACTGATATTTTGTAATGAATGTGTCACTGATTAAGCAGATATTATCAATATTACAGATTAAACTATTCATACTATCTGTGCAGTTTATATGATTTATTTCAATAATACTATCAATAAACTTAACACTATTCTGATAACAGTTTATAAATTGATTAAAGAAAGAAAGAGAAAGAAGATTAGAGAAAGAGATTATATAAGAGAATTCTTATAGATAAGAGAATCAGAGTAGAAGAAATATTAAAAATTATACTCTGAAAAAGCACAGAGTAGAAGAATCATTAAAGTATTAAAATATATACAATTATAAAACAGAATTGTAAGAAGATGTGAAAGAACTTTATAAATATATATAAATATATAAGTGTATAATAGAGGATTGATTGTATAAATTAACTGCTAATAAATGCTAACTCATTATATTATCTCTCTCTACTGAGATGAGTGAGAATTTATAGATATTGAATATAACAGTATCTTTTATAATAAGCACAGATTTTCAGATTGAATGATTGTATTCTATCTATTTAATAAAATATTTATAGTGATGATGATTGATTCTATTGCTGAGAATTGCTTCAATTTCTCATTCAAATTCATTATCTTCTTTTACAATAACAGATGATTATCAATTGAAAGTCTTCTATAAAAGAAACAGATTCTTGACTGTGAATTGAAACAGATTTATATAAAAAACATTATAAATATTAGATGAAATATTCAGTTGATAATTATGAGTATCTAATACTTCTATTACTGTGTATTTAATATAATAGTAGTTTAGTATATATAAGAGATAATCTATTCTTATATTTCTAAGATCTAGTCAAACTTTGTCTTCTATATTGTATCAGATTATAGAACTTTTTCTGATATTTATTTAATTTTTATAATTCTACTGAGTATTAGTCATTGAAGCTTCAGCTCATTTATAAGTTTTTTTAAATTTACTAATTATATTTTCTACTGCTTACACAGAACTGTGAATATATATAATTTTTTAAAGAATTTCAGAGAAGTTTAGAATTTCTAAATTATAATTATATAAAAGAAAGAATAGATTTATATCTGTTGTAATAGAATCTCAACTATTTATAATAATCTCAATATACAATAGTAGATTATTTCAGTTATTTTATATATAATTACAGAACT